CAAGAAACAAAACAAAAGAAATCTTGTGCCTAAACGGTTTAAGTACTCCATGCTATTCAACTTTACCTTTTAAATATCCTGTAGGTTCGGTAATCCCTCAATAATATTTCATTAAACACGATATTTTCTGTCATAACTTTTGCTATCTCTTTGTTTCCTTTGTCTGTCCCAACAATTAAACATGTCTGGCAGTAAAAAAGATTTTGCTTTTTATAAGTTCCGAACTTTTTGAAATAGCCGCTGCTGGCGCCAGATAAGACTAAGATAAGAAACTTAGAGTGGTTTTAATTTGGGCTTTCGTCGCTTTCAAATCTTAAGACTGCTGTTGCAGTTCGTTTGGCGAGTTTTTAATCTTTTAAAGTGGAGACGATTTCTGAAGGGCTCTGAAATCAGTAAATAATAAGCTTACAAGAAATAACGGAGTAGCCGTTGTTTATGGCCACCAAAGTTTAAACTTTAACACCTGTGGTGGTGAAATCGTGTGTACACATGCCCAGAGTGATAACTGTTATGGAGCGTTGATGTATGTGTATGCCGTTTAGGGGCGCAGTTGTCAAATTGCAAAGCATTAAACATCCAAGACATTTTACATATTCTTTATGTATTTTTATTTCAATCGGTTGATATATTGTTGATATTTCGCTTACTGGTTCGCAGGCAAATTTTCTCGCCGACTCCCTTTAAATTTAACTCTTTATTTTCTGTGAATAATTTTGCTCTCGGAAGTCTGTAAGTAACTTTATCAATGTTTCTTTTTTAATAACACACTTTTAGCTTCTAATTAATCTGAAGTATTTACCTTTATCTTATCAGTCTCAAGCGGAATTATCAAATAAGCAGCTTAAGTACCTTGTTCGAGAAGATTAAACGTTTGTTCTAGCCGTAAAGGTTCACTTTTGGGTTGCTGAACAATCTAATAGAAGTCTTTATCCTATAAACATAATTTACTGGTTCTGGGTTTTGGCCGTAAGTTTTATCTCCTTTCTAATTAACTTAACATGAGTTTTCGGCTGTGAACTACATTGATCTGAAGCTATGGACAACTAAAGTCAGTCACTATTGAACACCTTGACACAATAAACTCTATTCCCAACAAATGTTTTCAGATGCAACAATTTTAAAACAAATGTCAGGGATTTCCTTTTTTCCACTGAATGGGCGCCTACTTAACATATATATAAACATATATCCAGACTTATGCTCACTTCTCTACTCAGTACATGTCACTAAATTTTCGTTTGCAGTGGTTAGCCCCGCCGTTACACCCACAACTAGAATGCAAAACCTTAGACCAATTTTGTTGTATACAGCTGTGAAAGAGATGCTTTGTGATAAGTTTTTGAATTGTCGGTTGATATATCCCTTGTAGATGGCTTATAACTAATAGACCGTGTGGTAAAAGATAAAGGAGCCTTTTCAGATGAACTGCGGAACACTTGTATTTTCTGAAACATCAAATAAACCGTTAACGTGACAAAAATTGGATACTTGTCAGCTCCAATTATCTTGATTTACCTTGAGTTGAGTTCTTCGTTCAAGGCTGCACGAAACGTACGCCTTTAAATAAATGTCAATCATAGAAAACGTTGGAAAACCGTTTGCAAAAAGTCCTCAAATACCACCAAGGCTTTTTTTCTTGGTCGTTTCTGTTGCTTTTGCATCACGTGGTTACATGGCATTTTAGAGGACCAAATACAGACGCTCGACCGCTAAAAGGCTTTTCAAGTATTGCCCTTGACATGTTGTGATCAAAACAAGTTCTAAACGTATTTTGGCTCCACTTCGTCACCCTTGACAAATATGTGAAGTGGATCCTAAGCCTGAACAATAAGGGAGCGCTCCGTAACAGTCTTGTGTTTTATTCTGCAGTTGAATCATTGCAAATAGCAATGGTTTTAGTAGTCTTGCGCGCAAAAAATTACCGAATCCTGGATTCGTGATGGCGCCGTGAAATAAATGATGCCAAGTGGATGATTGCATGTGTTCAATGTTTCATGACCTCTTTGAAGTGTGTCATGTGATTCTGTTGTAGCCAAGTCGCTGAGGCATAATATCAATGAGAAATGCATTGAAACTGTCAACCCATAAAACTTCAAAACTTCAAGTCGCGGTGGTCGCGGCATTTTGTACTAAAAAACAATGGTTAATTGCTCCCCGTCTCTCTTTCTTATGTTTATTCTTTCAACTGTTCCTGATGCAATGCGTTGCATTGTCTTGCAAGCTAGATAATATCAATTCTACTCCTTGTTGCAATTATTTTTACCAGCAAGTTATATTGATATCAAAAGGCTAAATATATGTTTCTTTAGTTTTGCTTACTCACTCTTGTTTACAGGTTTTGTTTTTAAATAGAAGGTTTCGTCAAGGAATAAATATCGGCTTCGGGCGATTAAGTGTTCTCGAGTATACTTTTATCGCTTGTACGTCATAGATACCCTGCTCGTGAGAACTGGGCCACTTCCGTGAGCTCTCACAGGAACTGTGGCGCGGTATTAAGTACCGCGGTAGGGTCAACATCACTTGATTGCAAAATTTTCGTGATCATAGCCTAGGTTCCTCGCGAAGGTTCCGGGCGGGCCAAGCTTTATTTTGTCAATAAAACTTTAATTGAGGTTAGAGCAGTGCACATATTGAACTGAACTTTCCGGTTTTGGAGAAGCTTGCGTGCATTCTTTTGTAGATATAATTTTGAACTGCCTGGCTATTTTATTCCATTTTTTTTTTTCTCGTGAAATATATTTGTCTTTTGGATGAGAGCAAAAAGAGGCCCAAATATTGGTACAAGGACGAGATGCTTAGTGGCGTTTGTTTTGAAGTTCACCTTTTACCTTGATCATTATGCTGACCTCGATTAATTTTTAGAGGAAAGATGCACCTTAAGCCTGTGAAAGCAGACGTTTTTCCTCCAATTCTTTGCCTTAAAGATTCGGCGATTAAACCGGCTTCTTTTGAAGGCTGGACTGATTACAACCGGTAGAACTGAAGGCGTTTTTTGGATTTGCCGACTTCTCGAGGGTAATGTCAACTATAACTAAATCGTCATTTTTATAAATAATTTTAAGAGGTGACGTCAATTTTCGTTTCAGTCCTATTTGATCAAAACCTTTCTTTGAAAAAATGGAAAACTCCCGGGTTTTCTCCTTGATTCACTAACGCTAGTAAGACTACTGATCAAGAAATCATATTTCCGGTAAATTCGGGCTGATTTCAAGGTGTTCCTAGACAGTTCAAACTTGTAAATTAGAGAACAAATTATGTCCTTTAAAAGAGTCAAAAACGAGCCACAAATTGCGATATTTCGTTTGAAAGAAACATGCTATAATATGTACAGCATGAAGTGTATTACCAAGCAATTTGTTCTCCACGTCATGGCTAAATTTGTGATCCTAATATTTTGTAAAAATATTGCTCCCCCTCTCTCACTTTCATATAAATAGTGTTTGCTTGTTCTGCGTTCTTTTAGTTTTTCTGCCATTATAGTATATTTAGGAGCTATTCAAATAACCAAATCCATTCAGTTTCAGTACCGCGGAATTCACTTTTCAAGGCACTTTACCCCTTTTTATTCTAAGCTTAGAAGTAGGATTTACTTCGTGCTGTTTCGCTCATTTCTTAGTTATTTTTTTATTTTATTTTGTGTTTCCTTTTTGTGCATACCCATCGCAGGCCTCTTACGAAAAAGAACCAGTTTCTTAGTCCCTGTTAGAAACGGTGTTTAAAAGCAGTGACAGGTAACGCTATGAAATGCCCGTATTGAAATGATCCATTCGTTTTAGTAGCGATACAGCGCCCTTTTCTGAAAGAGAACGCGTTATAACAGAAAACCTCTCGACCTTGAGAGAAAAACAACCAGGTCGGTGACGTATAAGTTAGCGTGCGATATGTACGATATTGACCGACTGCGCGCTCCTTCCCACGCCATTTAACTTCAGTCATTCTTAGACAACATCATTGTGTGTCAAGATACTGCGGAGCCCGAGCGATATTATCGCAGTCATGATATTATCTTAAGAACTTCAAGCAATAGATCATCGTTACCGTCATCGTAATCTCCAAACAATCAGTTCTTAAACAACAAGTGCAGTTGTTCCTCTCAAGCGATCTGGTTTGCATGGCCCTTTGAAAGGGAAGTCCATGTTGAATCAATATCAGCCGTATCGTAACCCACCCTCTACCGCCTAATTTAAGAAGATATTTCCGTTCATATAAAAGGCCTGCTTTCTCAGTCACAAACTATTTGTGTTTAAAACAGCTGTTGGTTCGTTAGTGCCTCAGTCTATACAAACGGACAGCTAAGTTCATTTGGTCTTCTGGTTTTTCCTACGACTGGTATTCGCTTCTGGCAGTCGAGCTTCGTCTTCTTTTCCGTGAGTATAAACCTTTAATATTGAAATTTTATTGCAATAGCTTATCGCTTCGATCGACCAACGAATTTTCTCTGATGTATCAGTGTAAGAAAAAAAAAACGCAAATATCTACAAAGGTCCGATTGCAGAGTAATCTCAGTTTATCTTTCCAGAATGTTCGTGTTGCGCGTGCCGAATAGCTGAGAAACATCCTATCATTGCCCGACATGGTAGCAATATTTGCTAGCAAATATGGTAGAGATATTCGCTTTGTCTTCTAAGATTCTTAGGCTTATCTTAGTTGATGTGCGTTTTTTGATTCCAATTATCGTCCGTTGTTTGCTTAGGCGAAAACACTGCAGGTTAGATCGGCTCGAACGGCTTGAAGATGCCAGTTCTTATTCCGACTGCAATATGCCCTCTCTTTCTCAATACACAGTATTGATTTAGCTGATGGAAAATCGCTTATTTTATTGATTAAGTACGTTGCAGACGTCTTTGTGTTCGGATGTATGGCCGGTATTATTAACTATTTTCTATTTATCACCCTTCTTTACGTCTTTCACATTCTAAGAATAACCTAACGTGGAAGGGAAAACACGGATAAAAAGAAATTCTCGTCAATTAAAATGAAACAGCCATCAACTTCAGTATGTAAGAACTTAAGGACTTTAATTTTCTTGCACAAAATGTTAATCACCTGTGTTTTTAAGTTAATTATACGGGATCATTTTCCTTTTGAAACGCACGTGGGTTATCTAGGTTCCTTAGAGTCAAAGAAGCCAATCTGGTTTTTAAAATAAACATTTCTTTTCTTCAGTTAGCACAAAGAAAATCCAGCCAAAAGTGATAGGAGCGAGCGATTTCTTTCTGCTGCAGTTTCGTTCTCAGAATTCAAGAATAGTGCAAACGGAGTCGAGATCATATATATTTAATAGCGTAGCTTTTAGCACAATAAGTATTAGCTTTTAAGTTAGAGCCGACCCTGCTGGTTTCTCATGAAATCAAGTCCACTGAACAAGTATATTAAACTCTAAACCGCAATTATTCAAATGACTCCCGATGACGAACAACGAAAACCACTTTTTAAGTGTTTTCCTTGTCCAAGTTTTACACCCGCGGAGTCATGTAATCATTTCCATTTTTGAACTTTTGATTTGAATTTCCTTGCCTTTGTCTCGACCTGTTAATCTCGCTCTCGCTTTCTGTGGCGTGGAGATTCCGTTATACATAACGGCCTGGTATATATGGCTGGTCTTCAATTTCCATTCCATTTGCCGCACCCTAATGCAATAACATTACTTATTTTTCTCATTAAACTTTAGACTCTTTCATAATACTGCCAGGACCACTTAAATTATAATCTGTCTTGCACGGAACCAAAATACGAATATGTGAATTTATTGTAAAGTAATGAAACAAATTGTGCGAGATTACTTTCACTAGCATGGGGCAAGGCATGAGTTTGACTACTTTAAGCAATTTACCACCCATGTGGCCTAACCGAGCAGAAATGTCGATTATTAAAGTCGAATTTTCGTGATTGTCCAAGACGCTGGCTTAAAAAAAGTGTTTTTTTTTTTTTTGCAAGGTGTACGTTTTGGAGTCGTCAAGAATTTTGACGCTGCCCTGGGCGAAAAATTCGAGCACACGTGTCTTAAGAAATAACGAAGACAAACTATAATTGGACGACCCGCGCGCTAAGCGAGCGCTCGGTTTTGTCTAATCTTCCATTCATCAAAGTGAAGACCACGGGAAGTCAATTTTGTAAGATCACGGAAACAAAAAGTATCACATTCGTAGTATTATTTCATGTATCATAATAACAAGTCAAAATATAAATACAAGAGAAGGAAATCAGTTTCTCCTTAATATAATTAGTGGGACTGCATGTCGCGATCACTAACGGGCAACAATTATCTGTTTTTTTGACGTTAATAGCGAGTCACGACTTAGTTAATTGATGTAGCTGGATTTAGAACAGGGGTCGTCGTTTTGTGTCTTGGCCTTGGATTGAAGGGAAATGATACTCTTCTTCAGTTTACGATGTTCTAATCACGTAGTTAAATATATCTTCGTGAATTAAATGTTATTATGATGTTCTGTACGCCTCCCGCCGAGCCGCCACTAGGCCATAGGATCCTTGATATTAGTTTAATTAATGTTTAACATCGAAACTACGATTTTTTAGGGTTTTGTCTTCATCATATGTCTTCGCCAGACTGCGCACGAAACATGGTTGTTTATGTTGAAGGGTCGTACTTTTAAGCCGTCATGGCGACTCACATCATGAATAGCCGTTAGCGTGTTAGAACGGTCATTAAAGTTAACCGTCTTGAAGAGATTTATTTTCGGTTGAGTTAATTACTGAGCCGTAGGTCACTCGATCACGTAGTTTGACGTTACGTTTTGCGGGAAAACCACCTGGTCGTGGCCACCTTGTGCACCACTCGCCTTCCCTCGAGTTTCACCAGCATCGGTCATACCCAGCGTAAAGGACTCTTTTTTGCACCCGGTCTAATACAAACAGCTAGCCGCCAAAGCTGTATTAATGCTCGCGTGTCGCAACATAACGCTATTGGGCATATCACTTGGTTTCCCGTAGGTGATCTTTGAGCACATAGTGGATGTGGGTCAGATGGAAATACAAATCACATGTTCAGCTTTCCTAAGAAATCTGTTGATTTAATACTGTGTAAACCTTGTTAAAGCCCTAACGGTCTGTCCTGAGTAATTTGCTATGAAAAATACTTCGCGTGATCGCGCGCTTCGGTGGTGATGCGTGAAAAAAATTACTTTTATTTGTTGTGGGAGAACTGTTTCTATTAGTATCATTAATAGACTGGAGTCATCGATAAGGCTATTTATCTTCCTAAGGACTGTCCTCACGTAAAGAAAACGTTTATACATTCACTATCGTCACAGACATGATAGCTTCCGATAAGGCACCATCTTGTGAAATAGACGAGGAATATGCCTCTTTCTATCAAAACAAGGTCGTTTTTAGATCAATCTTTGACCACGCTGTGAGAGTATTTCGCCAGCTTAAAAATAGTCTTAAGTTAATGAGATTCTTCACCACTCTATAATTACCGAATTTTTTTTTAGCTTAGACGTTTTCAAGAATGTCAGAATGAGGCCGTACCCGCAAGGAAATTGAAGAACGAATGGCAAGCAATTCACTAATTCGTTCTTGATTTGCCCAGCGCGTTCTCAGTCGTGCATGTGTACTCTTATCGTAGTCAAGTCTTTACGGCAATTTAGCTAATCCCGTTGAAATGCTTGTAACGGCTTAAAAGAAGGAGAAATTTGGTTGATAATACAGTGGGCGTATCGATTCTTAAATGTTAATTCAAACAAGCCCATTGGCACACCGGCTCGAGTCATTAGTACCAGCTATGACATTTGATTTAAAAGGGTCCCTTATTGTTCTTTATTGGAGTATATTACTGCTCCCAGTGGGATACAGCGTGCAAATGGGAAAGCTTCTAGATACGATGGATGCTTAACAACATTAAACCTTTTGTTGTTTAACATTACGGGCCATTGTCCCCGTACAAAGGGCTTGATAAGCTGAAGGGCTGATTGAATTGCATAATCCTCTGGCTGAATAGCAAGCGGAGCTCTATTATGTCCTATCATTTACATATGACAGTAAAAGCAATTAGGAGCGTAACAAGTGGTAGTTAGTTGTAATAGAACGGCTTGATATTGTGTTCGATATTTTGTCTAATTCCCAGTCTGTTTGTATAGTCATTGTTTAGAAGCAAACCCCCCGAGCTGGGGCTTTTATCTCCAGGTAGCATAGCACGCCCAAAAAACATTTGCCTATTGTTAGCGACTGAGTAAAGTGAACGGCTCGCAAGTTAATCAGCAAACGTTATCTGAAACGATACTCTGCCACTACTGCCGTTCAGAGGTTCTCGAGAGTGAAATAGATCCCATATCAGGCGAGGTAAGCAAATGGTCTGGTGTTCTGACGCCAGCACATTTTTCTAGATTCCACGCTATGTAGGTAAGAACATAGCGAAAGTAAACGTAACCGCGTGGCTGCTTCATCGGTTTTGAGTACAAACAAAGACTTACTTGAAATAGTTGGCCAAACATTAGGCTATCGGGTCAAGCACCTAAACATACAGCCTCGATGCTTCGTGTTGTTTCGCTTCGCCTCTAGTGCTGTTGCGTACACGTTGGATTAGAGAGCATTTACACTCCGGACATTTCCATCTCGAAGCCAAGAAGGATAAATCCACAGTGCTAAGTGAAATCGGAAGTCGATTAACTGAAAAGTATGTAAACATGGGAACATTTAGAAGTCTCAAGCAAACAAGTCAACCACATTTTTCGCAGAAGTTGTCGCAGGAAATGCAAGCTCGAAAGATATTTCTAGCGATGTCGTAAAGTCATGCATTAGGATTAGTTAAATGCCAGCTGATCAGTTTGAGAATTTTGTGAACACTTTTGGACAAAGCTTCCCCGCCCCCAGCTGATTCGTGCTTTATTTTACGGTCGAAAATTCTGTCAAGGTCGTCACAGAGTATTTGTTAGTTTTTGCTCCTCGATCCGAGTCGGTCTGCTGTAGTTGTCGCCTGAGACAAATGGCGATTTTGCATTTTGTCGAGGGCTTTGTAAATGTCGTCACATTTTTTTCGATTCACCTTGCTCAATATAGTTCACCTTCTTCACTAGATTGTTCAGTGATTCGCGTTTGGTATTTCGATTAATTTCGGGAAAAAATGTTTCTCATGCTCAGTTTGCTTTTCAACTTGGCGCAGACGGTTACCAATTACAGATTTCCACGGCTTTTCTTTCGTGTGGTTACCTTAGTTTCAAGGTACATCTTTATTGGCATGCTGTTCGAGAATTGTCTTTCGTGTTAAGATCACTTCAGGTCGGCATCCCTGACGTTTTTCCGCTATCAGAACGCGTGAAACCCTTCCTCGGTGTGAGACACGATCTATCTGTTCCATTACTTCGTCGTTCAATTTGGACATTAAACAATTGACTTTTGGCCTCAATATGTTCTCTTTCAGAAGCCAAACTCCAATTTAAAAACACTGCCATGAATGATTTATGAAAGCGGAAAACAACACAACAGTATGCGTTTTGAAAATTTGCTTGTTAGCGGTGGCGTTGTACTGAATGTTTTCCATGTACATGATTTGTTCATTCTCTGCAATAAGTTTTGACTTTCGTTATAGCTTATTTGAGTTTCGGCATCACCTATGTATCTTTTTAATTACTTTCCACATAACAAGAGCAAGCGAATTGCCAGATGGAGAAACATTGTTTTATCATCTAAACGTCTTAGTAATGTTGATGGCGTTGAATGAATGTGCCGTTCATTTGTATGTGATTATAATTGAAAAAAAAGAAAGTTGTGATTCATTTAAATCATTTTCATTACTGTTTGATGTGCTTTGGCGCTTTGGCAGGAACAAATTATGATTTTCTTTTAAGGTCTGCGCCTTCATGATCTCTACACAAACACGTGAATTTCGAATGATTTTTGTTGCATTTTGACCAAATCAACTGCAATTCTCTTGAATGTTTTTGCCTGCTCTAATCATTACAATTGCCAACTGAAAGAAATACGAAGCCAAGTTTTAGTTGTTTTTTTTTCGCTCGAAAGTTCTATTTCGGTTGAGAACAACATTTCCATGTGAGCCGAATGATTGAGTGAGTGGTGTGGTTTCGTGGATCACTGAGCGCTCAGGGGCTCCTGTTCTGTGCGTTTATTTGTAGTTTTCTGTCAATATTTTATCAAATGGTTTTAGTATCTAAACCCCTATTCAGGTCGTTTATAACACGCGTTCTTGTCATACCCATCTTGGGCTATGACCGCGTGAGAAGAAGTGCCAAACTCTCGGCCAGTGTCGATACTCACAACGGAACAAAGTCCGCTGTTGTATTTGCAATACTTTAGATCGATAAATTCGATCCGCTAGACAAAAGTTGGCAGTATAGTTATACCGGGAAATCCAACACCGAATCGAATATCGTGAAAGGCCAATCACGCATTAAAAACCGAATCGCCTTTTTAGTGGAGTGGATGGCGCACGTATGCAAATATGGCGTTCATCTCGTGTGGGTTGGCTGTCGCAATTAATTACTTTTCATTCGCAGATGACACATTTGGCAAATCATTAGTGACAATAATAAGGTGTTTATACTTTTAGGTCTGTTATTCGGTGAACCTAGAACTCTTCGTTATTTAAGTGACATTAGGACGACCCTGAATGCCAACGAGATAATCCTTGCGTGAGAGAAGCGTACTTTTTGGGGCAATTTTTTTTCCCGAGCTTGTTTACATAGACATAAAATGGTGTTTTGGCAATCCGGGGAGGTTACACAGCGAGTTCTAAATGGCACGGCGGGTCGGGCCAATATTTCTTTTCTCAATGAGCAAACAATAAACTGCTTATATTTGCTACCTATATCGAGCAAGGATAAAGCATTTCTCTCTGACGTAGTCAATACACGACTTTATAAACTGGGAAACAATGAAACTCAAGAATTTCTTTCACTCTAAGTGAGGTGGTGGCACCAAACAGATAGAGCTCATAAGTCTTGACGCGAAGAACGGTTGTCCGCTAATGAGCTTTCGCGTTTTTGTTTTCTTTCTTTGTGCAAATATATCAGAAAGTTAAACTTCGCAAATAAACACAACAATAATAATATGTTTGGCGACGTCCACTAAAGGGAAACAGATCTCGAACTCGTCAAGAAGAGATGTAAGTTTAAGATTTACTTTATGTATTTTTTTAGTTTCAACAGGCAATTTACTTTTAATTCCTTGTTTGCCATGATGCATTTTTAATGTCTAGTCAGATTCACAGCTGTGTACTTGCCCTTGGCGAAGCTGTGCGTCGGGATTTTGATTCCTCTTAGCGGGCGCAGCACGTTACCAATTGACAAAATCTCAAACCTGATTTTATTCGGGCACAGCTTAATTTTACGTTAATAGCGTAGGTGACACATTTTCAAAAACCATTTATCTAGGAACTATCGCTAAACGTGGCCATGTTAACCCGCTGTTCTGAAGCATGAGGAGACCATCTCTTCTGGAGATTATATTTATAACGGTGTGAGTGAATGACATGCAGATAAGCTTCGATATCAATACAGTATATTTCTTTACATGAAAAATAATTACTGCACCCAACGAGACGCCAGATTTAGGCATATTATGGCTCTGTTGATTGAAAAACCCCATGTTTGTGAAGCTATACAAAGTCACCGAAAAAAATCAATGTTCATAACAATCGAGTATTGTCGAGCCAGAATGTCGCGTTTTACAACAGTGTTTTGTCGTTGTGTACATGTAATGCTGGGGAAAAGCAATTAGGAGTCACTCAATTAGCGAGAGCTTGGCTCGCGGGAAAACAGAAAGACATTAGGAATAACCGTCTGGATTTCGATCAGTAGTCACAGCGTGCAGATCACGATTTTAGCTAAAGCGACTTGGCCGGAAAGACGGATAATGCGAAGTTCATATGTGGAGGCGTGGGCTAACACACACAACCTCCTTATGTATTGTTCGCACGAACTTTGGTTATAATCCATCGAACTCAATACGACAGATAAACGATCTTGTCACTCAAGGCCCATAACGTTTAAATTTCAATCGGGGGCAAACTTGTATACCTTTTACATTGTTTAGTTTTCGATTATATCAACTATTGAAGGTGATGAGTATTGCCATTCTTTGTCGTAGTAAGGGAATTTTGCTAGGTGTTATCAGCCCGCGAATCTCTGTATTCGTCTGACGGTGTGGGACGAATCTCTCAGAGCCCATCCCTCAGTAAAGCTTTTTTACGGTGATATGTGATTTTCTGCCCAACATCTGTCAGTGAAAACGATAACGAGAAACTTTACCATACAATGGAGGTTCAATTGAGAGGTTCTTTAATAACGCCCACTTCAAGTTAGATTTGACGCAAATTGAAAAGTTTTGGCTTAAAGGAAATTTTCTTGCGGTTGTTTTTACACTTTAGGCTTCACAACTTGAAGAAGTGTTATGCGATAGCTGTATTTTCTGTCGCATCTGCCCTGAACATTGTTTAGGCCGAGTTAATAACACGTTGCGGTAATGATTGACACCGTTGCCATAGCAGGCTTGTAATTAGAGCTTTGCACGCCAATCAGGTAGCTAGAGTTTAACAAACGTAATACTCGATCTTAGCGATAATATACCCCATGTTTCTAACCCTCTTGATAAATACTGACACTTTACAGAGACTTTACCACACCCCTGCGTTTAGCCTTAATAGTCGACCAGCAAGAAGAAGAACCCGTACACAACCGGCGTGATGTTTGCCCCACTTCCAGCCTTGAGCTTCACGCCGCAGCAGATCGCACAGGTCTGCGAAACTCTGGAGGAAAGCGGTGACATCGAGCGGTTGGCCAGATTTCTGTGGTCCTTGCCAGTGGCCCCTGGGACGCTAGAAGCCTTGAGCAAACATGAAAGCGTGCTCCGAGCGCGAGCCATTGTGGCGTTTCACATGGGAAATTTCCGGGACTTGTACCACATATTGGAGACGCATCGCTTCGGCAAAGATTCGCATGCTAAGCTGCAAGCGATGTGGTTAGAAGCTCATTACCAAGAGGCTGAGAGACTTCGAGGGAGACCCTTAGGACCTGTCGATAAATATCGCGTTCGTAAGAAGTTCCCTCTTCCCAGGACAATTTGGGACGGAGAGCAGAAAACGCACTGTTTCAAGGAGAGAACAAGAAGCTTACTTCGCGAGTGGTATCTTCAGGATCCCTACCCAAATCCGACAAAGAAGCGGGAACTGGCGCAAGCCACCGGCCTCACACCGACACAAGTTGGTAACTGGTTTAAAAATAGACGGCAAAGAGATCGTGCTGCTGCAGCTAAAAACAGGTAACAAATTTTAACTCTTACTACTTGCAAATTTTCGCTTTGCTTTCGCTCCGTCTGGGTCCAGGGTCATTTGTTGATTTTGCCATACTGCGCAAAGTTAAATATGGAAATCCTCTCAACGAAAATTCCCTTTTCGCCACCAAAAGCTCAAATCTCAGCACAGCTCAGCACGTTTGAAACGGAAACGGTCAAATTAGGATAAAGTTTAGCGGTGAAAATGCGATCCATGACTGCGTTTATGAGGGTTTCGCGGCCGCTTCCGTCACACAAAAGCCCTGCACTTCTCTCAAATTGGTTTAGGTGGTTTGCAGAATAACAGATGGGGTAGAACAACGCTTAATCCTGAAATATACACCGCACGGATAAGACCATTGATAGTCCGGCTCAGTGACAGTGTGTATATTTTATAGAAGCATGTGGTCAACAGATCGAAACAGACCTATCACTATTTGTTTCAAAGAGTCGCATTTGTTTTCCTTTATTTCGAAGCGTACTGTTTTAAACGAGAAATAGCCCCAATCCCATTGTACTCTATGGACGTGGCGCCAGAGAAATGTGTGTACAATAACACGCGCGCTTCGCATGTAAATTGTACACATGGTTTTCATCCGTATCATCGCCCTGCTATATACACTCGTCTGATGAAGGAAATTGATCGAGATACCGTTTCCCTTGAGATCTTCCGGAATTGTGTAGCATCTCTTAAATTCCACTCTACCGTCATTTGTTTTCGCAAGGAATATTTGATAATTTTCTTAGGTACTTAGAAAGGATTACGAGCTGCATTTGGTTATTTGTTTACCGTATTTTCATCTAATAACTATTTTGAGGCATTATGAAGGCAAATGTATTATTTTTTCACGCGCGGACACATCGCTGATGGCTCGCCAGAAATTGTAATCCTATCTTTCTTAAATTGTTTTTAATCGTCCACGACGAAAGATACGAAAAAGTAAAAATTGGTCCGACCACGAGAAGAAGGAGAAGATGAACAGCAGGACTGTAATCGTTTCAACTTCCACACACTGATATTAAGTGTGAAGTGGGAGGCACTCGCACTGACCAACTTTTACAACGTGAAAAGGCGATAACAAGGTTTCGCATTTAGCAAGCAAACATTAAACGAAATGACATGAAAGCTTAAAATATTAATTAAACTCATTTGCCCAACGCAGACGGGGCGGATTGTGCGGTATTTAAAACGTTGCCTTGCAAATCCTAATATTATCTGTAAACAGAAAATGAGAAAAGAAAAACATTTCATTTTTCCTTCTGGACATTCCTTGACATGTAGGTAAACCGATGTGTTCAACTCAACCTTTTATCAACTGGAAGCTTTCTGTTTTCCTGTTTTGCTGTTGTGTGCTTGCAGTGTGAATGAGTTTAAGGTTATAGTAATCTCCAAATCGCGCAGTAAGACTGTTTTGAGAACTAATGAAGTATTTATTTGAATACAGTTTTACCGATACGAGCAACGATACTCAACTAGAGTTTCCTTCCTCTCATTAGGAAAGTGTCTATCAAGTTTTATTTTTTGCAACACTGCAGGTTTATAATTTGCGCTCCATTTTCTAATTTGTTGACTCGTTGAAGTTTAACGGCGAAACATACATCCTCAGTACACTTCCACAAGCGTTATGTAATCCGGCGGGGATCCAATGCGCCAGTTGGTTTTTAACAAATAGATCGTTTCTACGGAAATACGCTCTTCTTTTCCTTAGTTACGAAAATCGCGAGATAGCTTTGTTGAGTACGAGTGAAAATCATTCACACCTAGTTTAGGAATAGAGAATTAGCAAATTGAGTGACTCTGTACTGATAAGTATCATTAAGACTATTAGGCCTTTCAGGCATAGCGTTTAACGCCCAAACTCATAACTTAACAAGAAAAAAGTAGGCCGAGACAATGGTTTTAGTCCGGTTCATTGATAAACCTTGCGTTTGCTTCCTTTTCCTTCCCGGCAATACTTTCATTTGAAATTTGTTTTTGTCCGTGACTACTTATTTCCAAATCCAAGAGCAGGATCTTTGTGTAAAATGTTTTCTTCACATCCCTTTCTGTTATTTTAGTTACGTTTGCACTTTCGGCGCTCAAATTGTATTGTGAAACTGTCGAGCGAAAAAAAAAGTCATTAATTTATTTCTCCGGTTAAAGACACATGCAATGAACAACATCACTTCCCCGAATACTACTGAAAACAAGTGATAATGGGCGAACAAAACAGCGATATCTGTTTTCTGTGATATTGGCCGGGCGCGAGTAGTCAGAAAGTATCTCCAATAGCAATAGTTCTATTTTCGATTGCAAGTTTATTTCTACTTTTCATAATGTGATGTCCCATTTTTAACAATAAATGCAATCTCGAAAATGTACGTTGTTTTGGAAACGCAGTATACTTCTTCGCAATGGCTGTTTTCTCGACGCGAGTTCCATTGTTTATTAGTGGCTTTAAGAAATCAGTTTGGGTTATTAATGAACGAGGTGATTCTTTGAAAATAGCCTTTGAATGGCGGTTTTCTGCGGTTGGATGGAAATTTCACGGAAATATAAGTTTTCAACCTGGGTGTTCAAACTCCATGTATTCGTACAATCCTGACTGAAGGGGTTTCGAGTTTGTATTCGATCCGGCACCAAACTTCATCCCGTGTCAAATTTATAACGAGTCCTTTCAATTAAACACTTACTCTGAGCTTGTGGTCGAACTGGATTATTCAAACTGAAAACTCTGCTCACCCCTCAGTAATTACGAGCGCGCATTTAGCAAATAAAGTTGTTTGGGGTTGGAAGTTTTTATTTCATGTCTATTGAAGATCCTACAGCCTTTGAGCTTGACACAACTTGATGTTTTTATTCACCCCTCGGTAGAAAAACTCCTGCAAACCAACAATAGAGCACAATAAATTGTGTGATAATATATATATTTTTGTCGACCGCATGTCTAGTTTTGCTTTCTCATAAATGAAACGCCCAGAGGATCGCATCTCATTTCAGCACTCGAGCACGATACATTTGTTCCTTTTGAAGCCAGTGAAAGCCTATTGATGCAGGCGGCAGGCAAATCACAGATGTATACTGCCTGCAGCGATTGTATTACCAGGAATTATGCGCTGATTTCTTTCAATTTTCACCCCAGTGAAAACCTATGTAATCCAATGACTTCTCCTAAATCACTAACGATTTATTTCATTACTTCCCTTGGCAGAATGAATCAACAGCAAGGTCAACACCTATCGCAGTGCAAGGGAAGTTTTTCTCCAGAGGGAAAAGCTATGGAAGACTTTCGCGGGCTAAAAAATTCACCAATTTCCAGTTCAACAGACGACCTACGCAAAGGCGAGTGAATCTCAGAAGAAAAATTTAAAAACAACGCTTTCGAACAATCAAAGAGAGAAGCAGAGGACGACTGACTACAAGAAAAGAAAAAGAAATAACGAACGCTGTGGATGGCAGATATTTAATATTGGTTTGTGGAGCCAAAACGAAGCGCAACACTCTCTTAAAAAATAATACATGCAAGAGGAACACTTGAAAAAGCTACATAAAGTTTATTGCCGAATTTTGAATTGTTGTACAGAGAAATATCGTTGTAAATGTTCAAATATATAAATATAATATGCGATGGGCGCAGTTCTTGTAACATAAAATCTCTTCGTACCGGGCTACTAGATGTTGGATGACTTGAAAAAAAAAAAAAAGAAAGAAAAGAAATGCAACGCATCGTGGCTGACATTTTCATGTTTTGATGATGCGACGGATTTTAAGTCGCTATCATCAGTTTAAAAGAGAAGGATTGACAGAGAAAATAGTAAAGTTGTTCGAATACAATGAGTATTTACTGTTCTCTTGTAATCTATATTACAGTAATACGCGATCGGTTTACTGGATATTAGTTTTGGGGTTTCTTTTTGGGGCTGTAGCTTTTTTTTTCTTTTCAGCCCGCGCTAAGTGAGCTGTTTTGCGTTAGTGTCATCTCCCATTCAGCTGTTGTGCCTTTACATTAATGGAAAATCTTTTGTTCGTATCCATTGACACTATTCCTTGCTAACTCGTCTTTTCGAACTATTTTCAACCACTCGATTAGCATTTGAAAAAAAAGAAGAAAAAGAAACTCGCTAATAGATCCCTTTGTAGAAACAGCCTGAAAGTGACAGCGTGTTATAACGATTAGCACTTGGCCTTAGGGTTTGTTAAAAGCGCGCTAATTGCTTACTATTTCTATTCTTCTTTGCTACAAATGGCGTCCAAACAGTGCCCTCAAAGGACTGAATACCGTTTTGCGTTACATTGCTGTGAGGGTTGCTTTATCGATAAAGATGTCAAACTTATGTCAAATGCACTCTTAATGATTGCCACCCAACAATGGTTAATTATCATAATGTCTACGTGTAATACGCCTCAACTGTAAACAGAGCGGTCATCGTGAAAAGTTCGGGGCCAAAAATGTCTCTAATGGCTGCAATCACTTAGTGATGGCGGAGAATTAATCAAATCACGTTTGGCCTTTTCGTTGGTTCTATTAGCGGCAACTCCAAAAACTAAAATCTAGCCTTGAGAACTTATTTTTTGGGTAGCAGCGCTGAGCAGATGTTTCGAATCTCGATTCAAAGGTTTTTTTAGGAGATAACAGCCGAGTGAAAGTCTTATTGTAAAAGATACGCTATCAACGCTCAGAGAAAACCTCGGGTCAAAGTTTGTCAGGTGCGGTTTAGCTCAATAACTCCGAAGAATGCGGAGACATTTCTCGACAGGAGATTTAAGAAGAAAACACTTTAAGCTTATCGATCTGTCAGTTACAGGGCATCGTCCAAATATTTGCCAAACTGAAGCGCAGATAATGCAAACAGCTATATCTATCTTTAAAAGGTTATCTGCGTCCAAATCCCGAGAAATCTCAAATGGCTACTGCCGAGGAAAACTTGATAAAAATAAAATAGAACAGAACAAAAAGCTTTGCGCAAATTTCCCATTAATCGCCTGGAGTTCAAGGCTATGAAAATGTCTAGCCTCAGTTTTTGATGGTCTGTCGTATCGGTAGATTATCGCTATCTGAAAGCTTTTATGACACCTAAAAGCACCGGAAAAGAGGTATTTGCAGTAATACATCCGAAACCAAACAAAACCGATATGAACATAAAGCGCTTTAAATATCAGAATAAACAATTTTATTTTAGGAAATTCACACCATATCTGGTAAGGGTAGTTGCAATCATCAATTGAAAATTGCCTTTAGCCTTCGCAAAGCGAAATATTTTCTGGTGATTCTCACGCAATATTTGCATATGGAGTTGTATTTCACCGTCTAGTAGCAGATGCGTCGCATTTGGTTGAAATCTCAGTAATTACTGTCTATCACGTATCGTACCTGAAATCAGGGCAAAATCGAGGCTCATATTGATTTTATCTCGAACTAAGATATCAAAAACAAACAAGAAGAGCACTTACTTAAGTGGAATTTTTAGCTTTTGCGCCAGATATTGTTGCGGTTCCCAAATGGTCGCCTTTTTGCATTGCAATTAGTAGTTCTTATTATGCGCCCTATTTTAAGTTCGTTCGTGTGTGAACTTCAGAGAAAAACATTAAAGATCGGATCAGATAACTATTGAAAAATTGCCTTGAATCCACAGAAATTTTTGGTTTACTATAATATCGTAGAAAAAAGACCTTCCTTTAAAATAAGTAATAGTAAAAATAATACAACTAGAAATGGGTGTAAATTACAGATATTTGTTGAAGAAATCGGGTCATTTTTATTGTTTCCTGTCTCATAGGCCGGCTTTAGCTTTAGACGGTCTAAGATACATTAACCATCAGTCAACGAAAAGGCATGCTGAACATCTGTGCACTATAATTTGCGCACTCTCAGTCACATATTTTGAGAAAAAAAAGCTCGTCATTACTTCATGAAATATAATGAACACTTCGTTTTGTTTTGAAAATGTAACGAAACGTTCACTAAGATACAACGAATTGCGGACTGGTATCCGTCTTTTCTTAGTCTTGAGTCTAGTTAAGCCACCGAATGCGATGAAAATAAAATGGCTTTGCAGTTTTAAAACACGACACTTTCAAGAAGGTTATTGGAAACACAGTCGTCGATGCTTTTCAGGTCCATTCACGGTGAAATTACGGCAAGGGCGCCTTCGATATTACCCTAGAATTACCGACGATCTAAATGTGGGAAATCTACTCAGTCTTCATGATAATTCTACCAAGGCGAATGAAAGGAATTACTTGTTTTTCGTAAACTTGAGCTACAATAGATTTTTTTAAAATGCAGTTTTCTGAGCTGATGAAATTATGTTTAATGAATCCTTCGCAATTTAAACCTTCCATTAAGGCACGTGTTGACAGAACGTATCAAAAATCCTGGCCGCAATTCTCAGCCGTGGATCAGCAAAGCACGTCTCTCGTTCAAGCCATTAATAATACTTAGACGCAAGCCTAAGTGAAAAGGCAAGGTATTCAGTTAAACTCAACGGTGTGTTAGTGTAATCCACTTCTGTAGAGTACTTGGCTCTTGTTAGCAGACAGTCTTAAGTAACAGTTTCAGCTACGGTACGATGGCTTTTGCTGGAATTATTGAGACAGTTCACCTGCAAAAAGAAATGAGAGAGCTTTAAGAAACTACCGAAAACTGTTTTCTTCCCAGACAATCCAACTGAATACTTCTACACTTTTTTTACATGGAACTCGTGTATACAAGAAGTGTTACTTAGTAAACATTGACGTGTGCTTTGGGAAGCGCTTGATAGGTTAAGTTCGTTGAATTACGATCAGTCAGAATAAAATTAAAACTAAACGGTCAGTATAAACGACCATGGAGGTTGAGTTGAATTTGCGATACTGCTGGCGGGCACGCCGAGGAAATGTGCACGAGCATGCATGCAGTAAAATATAGTAAGGAACAGAATTGCCAAGGGCTAACTGCTAGTGTAAAATATATACTTCTTGTACATTTGCTTGACCGGACAGGTCGAGATCAACTGTCACTCCCAGATGTCGACCGGGAGGACAAATTGTGGTTACCTTAGGGAGTTATGCGATCTTACAGAAATAGCTACTATTTGAAGTTGTAGAAGAGAAGAATAGAATGCCCTTGTTCAGGAGAAAAGATAAACGATAGTAATAATTGACTTAAACCCCTTTCGGCTCATAAGTGTAGGTTAGTGCGCATTGCATGGACAGTAGTTGCGATTTCATTTTTGAATTTTTCATGTTTGAAGCTATCGTAACTTAAGAAAACAAGCAAACACTACTACTCTATCTCCTTATTTGCTTCAGGGTTTTAATTAATTGGTCCCTGGTTGTAATTTTTAGTCCTTGACTTCCACACAAGATAACCTTCCTTTGTGGTCCTAAAAGGTGCATTTTTATCTCGATGGTTCCAATACTGATTATAAAAGACCTCAACATTTTTTCCCCATTGACCACAATGAGATGAAAATGGGTGAGGTAAATATAACATCAAAGCGGATAAGGCAAACATTTGGCAGTGTGAATAGCCACATACAGATGTTGAACAGTCTCACTTTGGGTGAAGCAGGTTTGTCTTCACGTCATTGTAGTCTGACTCTTCCTAACATAATATACTGATAAAAACAAAAAAACATTGTGGATGATTCTGTTTGAGTAGGCTCGATAAAAAATCGAGTGTAATTTAGGTCTCTTTTACCTCCTGTTCCTCCCCTTCAGTTGTATGGGTATTAGATGAGAATTTGCATAGTGCCAAACAGACTTATGAGCATGAGCTGGTCGTTGTTTCTATCAATAGTACCGAATTGACATTAACAGTACTGTTGGCCGAGTGAACCTGCTGCAGCAGCATCTAGCTTCAAATCTATTGAGCTGCAATGCTCCGAGCATTTCGCTTGCACACATACCTTGTAACTGCATGGTGATAGAATATCCGAGTTTCAATGTTTGATCAACATGCTCCGGATGGCCGACAGAATTATTTGGATGAATGCCTTCACCTAAGTCGTATTTTCAGCCCTGAATCATGATAGCCATATAATTTGTCATTTATCTGTGGGGAAATGAATTGAGAAGGAATTTGGAATTACTTGCTGAACTGATCAATATACATGCATGCAGCACTTATGGTATATTTGAGTGTAAAACCTCAGTACTCAGTGGTCCATTTGCTTTAACACAACTAAACAAGGCTCTTTAGCAGATTTGTAATCCTCAAGCTCCTCATTAGTTAAGTTAATATGCTTCAGTTGAACACCTCTCAATTCGATCTTAATCCAATTAAAAGGGAATGCTTCCGTCTGTGTTCTATATTCATGACTCGACTATTTTGCCGTGGCACTCAGGATTTGCGAAGACTGAAGCTCGTAGCTCCCCTATTTCCACTAGGAATCCAGGGGTTTGTTTGCTTGCAGTTGGCTTGCAGGAATTGTATCGTGTTACCCTTAAATGATCTCGTTGATAGTTTGTTGTACCCTTTTACAGACTGTGCAATGCCGGCAATGCATCACCCTCACTGTGTTGCTGCGGAAGTAGCTTGACAGTGCCATATATCGTGTTAGCCGAGATAGGCGGCTTTCAATTTTGCCAGTGACATGAACTTTCAGTTGTACTTGAGATGTATTTTACTTCAATACACCCGGCAATACAAATTTCTTATTATATGATGCAATGTTTTTTCCTCAACTTAACCGATGGTAGTTGTCTCATCCTTGGATTTTGAGATTTTTTCTGGCGATTTACTGAGAAAACTTGCACATCAGCACAGTCTCTTAATTTGATGTTTAAAAGTCATACCTTTATTATTTCTACATTCTTAAAACTGCACGTTTTGATTCTTAAACCTCATCTAATTCACTGTTGTCGTTTTTTTTTTTTATTTATTTGAGCAATGCTTATAATTCCAATAGTCTCCAATTTATGATAAGAATCAAAACTTAATATCTTTTGCTTTGCTATATCACGTCCTAATAACAGCAAAATAAGAGATAAAACGCCCAACACGTCCAAGGCATGGAATTGAAATGAAATTAAGAAGAATACAAAATAGAGGTGACTGAAGCTACACTGTTCCCTACCACATTGTTCTTTCTGCAGCTCTGTTGTTGCCGTTCTCCAGAACGACGTCTACTCAAAAACACAAACACGAACTCTGAAATGAAAACTTGGACTCGATTTCACTTGGCAATGAACCTCTTCGCTGGTATTTGCCACTACTTGACCTTTTAAAGGCTCATTTATGGTTGTAGAATGCCATACCGAATGTTTCTATGATCTGCAACACGACTACCACCTTGAAAGCCCATAATGGGTTGGTCGTCTTGATTTTCATGTCACAAAGCGCAAGGAGCCAACTTTGCCAAGGATGAAATCCTTAGTGCACTTGGGTTTGGTCAGCTTGCTTGGCCTCCAGGTCTGTCCATCAACGAAGCATGTTTGACGTTTCGTGAGATATCGCTTTTACTATTTCCTTCATTTGTGGACTCTTCAAATGACACTTTGTTATCGTATATGAGCTGTGGGATCTGTATCTGTTGATAAGTGGCGTTATCTGACCCAAACAAACATGGCGTCGCTTACGTCGGTGGTCGTGGGCTGAGGAAGTCATTTAATAACAGTCATTGATAATTTCCGTGCTTGAAATCTAGCATGTAATCTGTATCAGTTTCAACAATGTCGTATTTGAATGCAGATCACTTGGATGTTCATGTAACACAGTTTCCTTTTCATGTACAAATTTGCATTTATCGTTCTTTCAGTCAGTTTTGAGGAAGCTTGCGCTGCACCGAAATCGAACCCAGAAGTACCTGACAACGACTACAGCCCCTCAGTCAAACATTTGTCAAAGTCGCTTTTTCGTTAATTGTTTTCGATTACTCTGTAGTACTTGACATCTGTACAGATTTAAATTGAGAGCAAGCAACTTTTGTTTTTTCACCTTCTTTAGAATATCTATACGCTGTTCGATTAAGGATAAATGAACGGCACAACAGGGTGCTTTTCTGGCTTGACGCTGTAATTCGTAAATAGTTGAATTAATTGTCGCGCAAAGTGCAAGATTTTTTAATTCAAGTTTGCCATGTGAAGAAAAGCATTTCTAACTTTCCGTGGGTCTTCAGTAATCGTAAGCTTCGTACAGCTTGTTTTGCGGCTTTCCTAATACATTACAGCGCAATATTTTCAAACATTCAGGTCGATTTAAATTTGGGCGGTCCTTAAAGGCTTACTCTAAGGATTGCTGTCACTTCAAATATGAGATTTTAATTTGACACCGCGGTGTATGCGGTAAATATTACTACCATTGTGTTTATTTCGCTCGCAGTTAGGGACATAAACGCAGTCCATTATTTGACTTGATTCTCTTGTTGACCTTTCCTTCTAAGAAGGTTTCTGTGTATGGAATCTTCTTGCAAATGAAACCTTAAGTTATTTGCAGAAATTAGTGTTCGAAGCAGCTGCATAGCAGGCCGACGCTTTTCGAAACAAATAGATTTGGCTCTGCTATTAACGGCAAACTAAATCTTCTGCTAACAGGATTTAATGGCGAAACGTTTCACGGCTTCAGAAAGCCTTCCCATCGGTAAATGAGATAAATTGCCAGATTATAAAATACCGCTTGAAAAGAACCGGTGCAGCCGCCAGTTTTAATGCTTTGATATTCAATATTATCGACTTTTTTCCGTTTCACTTATCGTCTTGAAAAGGTGCAAATGGGAGTTTTAACCAAAGTGTAGAATTGTAGCTTCTAACAGCCTTATTCATGAAACTCTTTTTGTCTCTTACAGTCTTTTCTGGCTAAACGCCGACAGTTATTTTCAATAACCCACACATCGAAAATTACCGCTGCCTTATTTATCTGCTCCTGTNATACTTAGACGCAAGCCTAAGTGAAAAGGCAAGGTATTCAGTTAAACTCAACGGTGTGTTAGTGTAATCCACTTCTGTAGAGTACTTGGCTCTTGTTAGCAGACAGTCTTAAGTAACAGTTTCAGCTACGGTACGATGGCTTTTGCTGGAATTATTGAGACAGTTCACCTGCAAAAAGAAATGAGAGAGCTTTAAGAAACTACCGAAAACTGTTTTCTTCCCAGACAATCCAACTGAATACTTCTACACTTTTTTTACATGGAACTCGTGTATACAAGAAGTGTTACTTAGTAAACATTGACGTGTGCTTTGGGAAGCGCTTGATAGGTTAAGTTCGTTGAATTACGATCAGTCAGAATAAAATTAAAACTAAACGGTCAGTATAAACGACCATGGAGGTTGAGTTGAATTTGCGATACTGCTGGCGGGCACGCCGAGGAAATGTGCACGAGCATGCATGCAGTAAAATATAGTAAGGAACAGAATTGCCAAGGGCTAACTGCTAGTGTAAAATATATACTTCTTGTACATTTGCTTGACCGGACAGGTCGAGATCAACTGTCACTCCCAGATGTCGACCGGGAGGACAAATTGTGGTTACCTTAGGGAGTTATGCGATCTTACAGAAATAGCTACTATTTGAAGTTGTAGAAGAGAAGAATAGAATGCCCTTGTTCAGGAGAAAAGATAAACGATAGTAATAATTGACTTAAACCCCTTTCGGCTCATAAGTGTAGGTTAGTGCGCATTGCATGGACAGTAGTTGCGATTTCATTTTTGAATTTTTCATGTTTGAAGCTATCGTAACTTAAGAAAACAAGCAAACACTACTACTCTATCTCCTTATTTGCTTCAGGGTTTTAATTAATTGGTCCCTGGTTGTAATTTTTAGTCCTTGACTTCCACACAAGATAACCTTCCTTTGTGGTCCTAAAAGGTGCATTTTTATCTCGATGGTTCCAATACTGATTATAAAAGACCTCAACATTTTTTCCCCATTGACCACAATGAGATGAAAATGGGTGAGGTAAATATAACATCAAAGCGGATAAGGCAAACATTTGGCAGTGTGAATAGCCACATACAGATGTTGAACAGTCTCACTTTGGGTGAAGCAGGTTTGTCTTCACGTCATTGTAGTCTGACTCTTCCTAACATAATATACTGATAAAAACAAAAAAACATTGTGGATGATTCTGTTTGAGTAGGCTCGATAAAAAATCGAGTGTAATTTAGGTCTCTTTTACCTCCTGTTCCTCCCCTTCAGTTGTATGGGTATTAGATGAGAATTTGCATAGTGCCAAACAGACTTATGAGCATGAGCTGGTCGTTGTTTCTATCAATAGTACCGAATTGACATTAACAGTACTGTTGGCCGAGTGAACCTGCTGCAGCAGCATCTAGCTTCAAATCTATTGAGCTGCAATGCTCCGAGCATTTCGCTTGCACACATACCTTGTAACTGCATGGTGATAGAATATCCGAGTTTCAATGTTTGATCAACATGCTCCGGATGGCCGACAGAATTATTTGGATGAATGCCTTCACCTAAGTCGTATTTTCAGCCCTGAATCATGATAGCCATATAATTTGTCATTTATCTGTGGGGAAATGAATTGAGAAGGAATTTGGAATTACTTGCTGAACTGATCAATATACATGCATGCAGCACTTATGGTATATTTGAGTGTAAAACCTCAGTACTCAGTGGTCCATTTGCTTTAACACAACTAAACAAGGCTCTTTAGCAGATTTGTAATCCTCAAGCTCCTCATTAGTTAAGTTAATATGCTTCAGTTGAACACCTCTCAATTCGATCTTAATCCAATTAAAAGGGAATGCTTCCGTCTGTGTTCTATATTCATGACTCGACTATTTTGCCGTGGCACTCAGGATTTGCGAAGACTGAAGCTCGTAGCTCCCCTATTTCCACTAGGAATCCAGGGGTTTGTTTGCTTGCAGTTGGCTTGCAGGAATTGTATCGTGTTACCCTTAAATGATCTCGTTGATAGTTTGTTGTACCCTTTTACAGACTGTGCAATGCCGGCAATGCATCACCCTCACTGTGTTGCTGCGGAAGTAGCTTGACAGTGCCATATATCGTGTTAGCCGAGATAGGCGGCTTTCAATTTTGCCAGTGACATGAACTTTCAGTTGTACTTGAGATGTATTTTACTTCAATACACCCGGCAATACAAATTTCTTATTATATGATGCAATGTTTTTTCCTCAACTTAACCGATGGTAGTTGTCTCATCCTTGGATTTTGAGATTTTTTCTGGCGATTTACTGAGAAAACTTGCACATCAGCACAGTCTCTTAATTTGATGTTTAAAAGTCATACCTTTATTATTTCTACATTCTTAAAACTGCACGTTTTGATTCTTAAACCTCATCTAATTCACTGTTGTCGTTTTTTTTTTTTATTTATTTGAGCAATGCTTATAATTCCAATAGTCTCCAATTTATGATAAGAATCAAAACTTAATATCTTTTGCTTTGCTATATCACGTCCTAATAACAGCAAAATAAGAGATAAAACGCCCAACACGTCCAAGGCATGGAATTGAAATGAAATTAAGAAGAATACAAAATAGAGGTGACTGAAGCTACACTGTTCCCTACCACATTGTTCTTTCTGCAGCTCTGTTGTTGCCGTTCTCCAGAACGACGTCTACTCAAAAACACAAACACGAACTCTGAAATGAAAACTTGGACTCGATTTCACTTGGCAATGAACCTCTTCGCTGGTATTTGCCACTACTTGACCTTTTAAAGGCTCATTTATGGTTGTAGAATGCCATACCGAATGTTTCTATGATCTGCAACACGACTACCACCTTGAAAGCCCATAATGGGTTGGTCGTCTTGATTTTCATGTCACAAAGCGCAAGGAGCCAACTTTGCCAAGGATGAAATCCTTAGTGCACTTGGGTTTGGTCAGCTTGCTTGGCCTCCAGGTCTGTCCATCAACGAAGCATGTTTGACGTTTCGTGAGATATCGCTTTTACTATTTCCTTCATTTGTGGACTCTTCAAATGACACTTTGTTATCGTATATGAGCTGTGGGATCTGTATCTGTTGATAAGTGGCGTTATCTGACCCAAACAAACATGGCGTCGCTTACGTCGGTGGTCGTGGGCTGAGGAAGTCATTTAATAACAGTCATTGATAATTTCCGTGCTTGAAATCTAGCATGTAATCTGTATCAGTTTCAACAATGTCGTATTTGAATGCAGATCACTTGGATGTTCATGTAACACAGTTTCCTTTTCATGTACAAATTTGCATTTATCGTTCTTTCAGTCAGTTTTGAGGAAGCTTGCGCTGCACCGAAATCGAACCCAGAAGTACCTGACAACGACTACAGCCCCTCAGTCAAACATTTGTCAAAGTCGCTTTTTCGTTAATTGTTTTCGATTACTCTGTAGTACTTGACATCTGTACAGATTTAAATTGAGAGCAAGCAACTTTTGTTTTTTCACCTTCTTTAGAATATCTATACGCTGTTCGATTAAGGATAAATGAACGGCACAACAGGGTGCTTTTCTGGCTTGACGCTGTAATTCGTAAATAGTTGAATTAATTGTCGCGCAAAGTGCAAGATTTTTTAATTCAAGTTTGCCATGTGAAGAAAAGCATTTCTAACTTTCCGTGGGTCTTCAGTAATCGTAAGCTTCGTACAGCTTGTTTTGCGGCTTTCCTAATACATTACAGCGCAATATTTTCAAACATTCAGGTCGATTTAAATTTGGGCGGTCCTTAAAGGCTTACTCTAAGGATTGCTGTCACTTCAAATATGAGATTTTAATTTGACACCGCGGTGTATGCGGTAAATATTACTACCATTGTGTTTATTTCGCTCGCAGTTAGGGACATAAACGCAGTCCATTATTTGACTTGATTCTCTTGTTGACCTTTCCTTCTAAGAAGGTTTCTGTGTATGGAATCTTCTTGCAAATGAAACCTTAAGTTATTTGCAGAAATTAGTGTTCGAAGCAGCTGCATAGCAGGCCGACGCTTTTCGAAACAAATAGATTTGGCTCTGCTATTAACGGCAAACTAAATCTTCTGCTAACAGGATTTAATGGCGAAACGTTTCACGGCTTCAGAAAGCCTTCCCATCGGTAAATGAGATAAATTGCCAGATTATAAAATACCGCTTGAAAAGAACCGGTGCAGCCGCCAGTTTTAATGCTTTGATATTCAATATTATCGACTTTTTTCCGTTTCACTTATCGTCTTGAAAAGGTGCAAATGGGAGTTTTAACCAAAGTGTAGAATTGTAGCTTCTAACAGCCTTATTCATGAAACTCTTTTTGTCTCTTACAGTCTTTTCTGGCTAAACGCCGACAGTTATTTTCAATAACCCACACATCGAAAATTACCGCTGCCTTATTTATCTGCTCCTGTAAAAATAGTTTCTTTTGTTGTTTTATTGTCATTTTCGTTTTACATGTGTAGATCTTGCACCTGTCTCTTAATCCTTTGAATCCCAGTCGAAAAAAGGTCTTGCTTGTAGATAAGGTCTAAACTAGTTTGGTTTATTCTTGGCATCATGCAAGAATCAGTTACATTAACGTGGCAAACGATCTTTCGAACTTGAAAAATCTTACCGTTTGATCGTTAAAAGATGGCTCGCTTGCTAGCAAAGATGGAATCGGTTAGTTTGAGGCTCCAGAGTCTAAGAGGATTGAGTTCGTAAAACAATATAATATAATAACTTACACTAGAGAGCACTCCATGCTGCAATGGCCATGGATATACTTACTGACTTACATACTTGATTTTTGCCATAAAAGTATAGAACTGGATATCACTGGTCTTTGAAACAACAGACAATACTAGCTGTAAAATCTCGAGGTGTAATTGAATGTTAACATTATCTGTTTATATGTGTAAGTTATGGGCAACGTTGCCTATATAAGCCTGTATAAGTTAACCTTATATTCAAGTAGCTGAGTACCTGCACAACACAGAGTGCATCATTCTTTTCCTGAATTTCTTATCGACTTTAGGAAACTACAAAATACTATCGTAGAGACGTTGAGATAAGCCGCCAGGGAAGCAATCATTTATATTCATAACATGGATTGCTAAGATGGGGTTGATTTTAAAATGGATATCAAACTCACAAGTTGATTTTCTAAAGGTGTAATTTTTATGTCATTAGAATTCGCTATTTGTGTTCAAGAGCCAGGTTGTACGTACAGTCCTTAATATTTAGATGTCTTTTCATCGATTTTCTTCGGATGTCTGACATGCGCATATAAGATCTCCTTATCTGTTAAAAGCGACGCGGATGACGGTTAAGTTAACAAGCTTCTGTACCTACACGAGTCAACTTTAAGAAATTTTATCTGTCGCTAATTTTCGTCGTTCCCGATTCTTTCTCATGAATGACGACAGTTTCGGGAAAGCTAAGTTCCAAGACGAAATTGCACTCAAAAGAAACATGTTAACCTTAAAAAATGGTAAACGTTTAGAAAACGCAAATAACTTATTCTGTTGATATAAAAACAGTGCTTTTTTTACTTGCTACAACGATGATTATAACATCGAGAAGGCTATTGATGCTTTTCAGTTTTGCAAATTCATTAAACCAGTCTTCCATTTTATTTCATCCAAGTCATAAGTGAGACCTTCAAATAACAAGACATTTTCTAGACATAACCTTTCTGATAAGAAGCCTTTCAAATTTTTTTCAAAGGCTCTTTTTTGGACAGATTAGTTTCAGGTTGGCCTATTGTCGTAGGGGCTTATTATTGAGGAATTTTGCGCTTCAAAGAAGGAACTTAGCGTCTGAAACTTTCTAGATGCACATAAGAAAACAGTATAGCTCGGTAAGCGTTACCATGTAAAAGAAATCCTACAGTCTCCAGGTGAATATCAAAAGTCTGAGATATTATAATGACATAATATTCAAAACAACCTTACAAAACAGTAGGAGCTTTGTAATCGCCGGAGAGTTGTATTGTTCTTTGAGAGCTAATGGGCGTATTTTCGGGAGACCTTATTATTGCATGGAAGGATATTCGCATCTAAGATTTGGAGGTATTGTATTTGGGTGGGCAAACGTGTTTTCGAGGCGGGTTTGTTGTCGGAATTGTCCGGTTAACAATTTCATGCTCCATGATCATTTTTGTTGTAGCTCTAACATCATAAATCTCTTTGCTATACCTTATTGCTGCACATAATACGTTGATTATACATCCTTTTTTTCGTGGTACGGTGCAAAAATTCTCTTGATTAATTTTGTTTTGTCGCCAGTTTTGTTTTGTTTTGCCTTCCTCCTAATCTTCCTCCACTGTCTTATTGGAAAAAGGCGGACTAAAAAGTATTGCATATATCTGACTACTAAAACTTTAGTCTGATCACTCAGATATAAACTGCTTTAAATTATTTTTTGGGATTTCATGTTAGAGTCAGCCATACGACAAAAGATCGTACAACAACTTTTGATAAGTAGCTTATTACGACGCAAGGAGACTCGTTCTTTTAAGCCTGTATGTCTGCATACCACTTTAGAAGATACTTATTTTGTTAAACATGTTCCATGAATTAAACACGTTAGTCATTTCCTTCTTGTGGTACTGTTTAGTGCGCAATGATGATCGTAATATGGCATGATATCCCTGGAGTGCTGCTTCGATTACGTTCCTATCATGGCCAGTGAGCGTCAGTTTCATTCGTTTTCTCTTTACTCTACAAAGTGTTTAAAATATCTGAGTCTGCGAATGAAACGCTGTAGGTTACTATACTTATGAAAACTAGACGAAGTCAAGCATTACTTTTATATGGCACTGTTACCGATGCCTCGTAAAGCTGTTTTAATTTTAATCTGATTTTAGTTTTCTTAGTGCGTGGTTAGAGCCCTTTTGCGTTACCGTTATACGTAAAAGCTATTGAACACTGCCGTTTTATAACGTTCGAAGTTGTCCTTCAGCAGCAAGGTGGGTGGTCAAATAGAGGATTTGACCGAGTCCTTTCAGCTACTGTTGTTCTTTTAATTCCAAGTTTTACCGATCTACGACATTTCACAGTCCTGACGATGCCATAGATCGGCGAAAGTTTGGAAATGAAAGAACAACAGTTGCTCAAGGCCTCAGTCGAATCGTCTATTCAGTGCTTTTTAAGGTCGGGCTTTAACGTTCGAGTTTGTAACTGAAGGGGTCATTAAAGCCAATGTGGTGATACGTTCATTATGACGGTATATGGGGTTTCTAGCTTTTGAATTTGAAAGCGTAGAAAGCAGGTACATGTATTCAGATGAAAGATACTTTCATGTAGAATTACGGATTTTGCTTGGCAAATTGCTCTAGACTTTTTACTGGTTTTTCATTGAAATTGAAGGTTATGTTTAGAAGAGCTCTGATTGCGAGGTCATGTCTATTATACTCGAAGTAACATTATTTACGATGTTGTGGAACAATTTGTGTCTCATCCATGATTCTGTGCAGGAAACCCGAGAGGGCCATCGTTTAAATGGAAGCCATTGCGTAGCACTGTTTGTTTATTATGCTGTGGCAAGGTGTTTGTCACTTTCAGTCGGGTCTGTGGCCGAGGAAACCTTAGGGTGTGATTATTCATTAAATGAAGGCTATTAGTATTTTCATGCCGTTTGTTACACAGGGATAAGGCGTACTAACGTTCGAAATTGTTTCTGTTCGAAACAAAACTGTTGCTTTAAAGGCTCTGATAAGATTCTTTAGTGAACTATGACATTTGGACGTGTAAGATAATAAGTAATATATACGAAGTTTACTGATTCGCATTCTTAAAGCTGTTGATGACTGCACAATTGTGATACTGTTTCTTAGATGGGGTCTGACGGTAAACTTTTAACTTTGACCATTGAAAGCTGTTAATGAGTACGGTATCATTAGTATTGTGCGAATTTGCAATGTTGTGTAAGGTGCTTCTTGAAAATCTTTTGTGAAACAATTAAAACGAAAGTTGTTGATGAATATGTCCTTGTGGTAGTGTTTATTATGCTATGCCACGTTTTTCTAATGTTCTAATTTCTCGAAAAAACCCTTCAAGAAGGCCATTCAAATAAAAGTGCCTGGAGGACATTTTTTGTCTGTGGATGAAACTCAAATGTTCATTCAAATAAAGGCTACTGAACGGAACTGTAATATGATAATCTTGGGTGTGCTCCTCTAAAAGGAACGCGTTGGAATATAACTTTGAAGAACTTGATTTTTGAAATGGTCCAAGTGCCAAAGAATTCAGTGAGTCTCTAATGAAATCAAAAATAAAAACTGTGATAGTGCAACTAAAAGCAAAGGATGAAAATGGTTTTAACATTTCAAGGAATAGATCTTCGTGATTAGTTTTATAGCTGCGCTTGCGTCTCAACGCAGAGGCTTTAACCTGATCCATAGGAACTGAAATTATCTTGATATTTTGTGCAACACTAACTGATTAGTTTTTCAGGGGCGCAATTGAACTGTTTAGTTCTCTTAAGGCCATTAACATTGACTGAATATTGTCAATTTGGTTAGTTGAAGGTTTGTCCCCGATGATTCAATCTTATCGCTGTTTTTAGATTGGTACAAATTTACTGATTGTAAGAGTAGCTTTAAGCAGTTAATTCAGAATTGCGGCAAAATCTTTCGTTTGCAGAAGCGATCTCCGCCCTCAATCATTAGCTCACAATTAAATATGGAGCGTTCGTTGTCATTTCATTGAGATAAAATCTTTGCGTTCAGCCGCCGACTTGTCAAGCAATTTAAACAGCACACGTCGGTCCAAGCGATGTTTACTGACATAATAAAATGGTCTACGTACCTTTCATTGTGAATCATTGCCCAAAGGTTAATGTTACCCTTTAAGAACGGAATGCAGTTTGTTTAAAGGTAGTATTCGAAGCGTAGGAAGTGGACTGTTACATCATGATATGGTTTTGTTTCCTTTTTTCTTTGCCGAGTAGATTTTTGTTACTCAAACCAGCAACCTCCCGTGAAGAGAGAACAACTTCGCCGAGGGCCAACGAACTTAAATATTAACACTCAGATGGCATCAGTACAAAGTTTCATGCCCTTAAATAAAACA